GGTGTATGGAGAGCAGAAGAGCCAATAATTGGTTTTTGGGAGTTGTTGGTAAGATGAATTAATGTAAACATTTAATAATACAATATGATGTTGATTATGTAATAGTATACATGTGATTATATGTTATAAAAATGGTAAAATAAAAAAAACTTTAATCGAAAAGAAAAAAAGAATAAGGCAAGCTCCATACAAGAAATAATCAAGAAAGAGACTGAAAATAAAACTGCCAATATCGTAACGCCCTTATACAAATACATGATGCATTCTCATCTGGAATTACTGTATACAGTTCCTATTGTCACATATAATCTTATTCATTATTTATTCAATGTCTATAGGCTGCCCATCTGAGTCAACGACTCCAGGCAGCTTACAATTCAAAAAGATATCAAAACACTAAAAACATTTAAAACAACAAAAACATTACAATAAATATACACAGCAGCCAAGATACTTGGTCAGTTAACAATACAGCCAGGGAACAGGGCCCTTGATACATTCAGTACCCCAAGCTTGGGAACATAGCCAGGTTTTCAGGCCCTTACAAAGGCTAACAAAATTGGAGCCATTCTAATCTCCGAAGGCAGGATGTTCCATAGAGCAGGAGCCACTGTGGGAAAAGTCTGCAGCTGAAATAATACAGCTGGAAAGGATATATAGTGTCAGTAAAATTGTCAGGGTGTCCAACACATTTCTGAAAAAGGCCTGAAAATTTGCAACTCTTTGGCTTAGAAAACAGTCGACCATGACAAGACATGATCAAAGTCTATGAAATCCCACATGGTATAGTGAAAGTGCAGTAGGAGGTCTTCTCCCTCTTGCTAATCACGAACTCCAGGAGTCCTCCAATGAATGGAAATTCACAATAGGACCTTGGTAAAGGAAGTAGTTGATTACCCAGGGTTATTTTATTATTATCAGATTCTTGGCAAAAGCAAGGCAATGGCTGTTAATTTGATGGCTTTAAAAGAGGATTGGAGGAATTTTTGTTACTTTTGGCATGGGGAGAGGAGGACCAAATGCTGGTCCTTGTATATTGCAGAGCAAATTCTCTTAAAACCTCACAGGAAAAAAAAACCACTGGGCCATTTGGGGCTGATCTAATTTTATAAGTGATCAAGATGCCCGGGGCTGTGGCCTAATGTTCTGTTTTACCAGGAAAGATGCCTGATAACCTCACAGCCACAAAAGCCTTTGCAGATACTGTTTTTTGTTGTGCTTCCTGGGGTGATCATAGTAAAATAGGACATAAAGTGAGATTTGGACATTAAGAGTGAACATACGGGGTCAGGCTGGATAGTCTCTCAGAGCGCCCTTCATCTTGTTATTATAAAATAAAAGACGGAATTTGAAGCTTGCAAAAGAACAGGAAGTATGAAGCCTAGTCACAGAGTTCAGTTAAAGTTCTCACAAAACCACAGAGTTCAGCTAATGTTCTTACTAAGCCACGTAGTCATTATGAGACTAGAGCTCCATACCTGCGGCCCAGACAAAAGGGGAAGCAAGACAGTATCTGCTTATAAGGGTTCTTTCCTCAAGGTAATCAATCAGAAATGGGTTAAGTATTTCCATGTTGTGCTGCTTTTGACAAAGTATAAGAATGTGTGCTTCCATTAGAAGAGTTGTTCAGAAGTTACATGCTTGCCTTTGACTAGCTTTTCTGAACCTGGCTGCCAAATAAACTTCTTGATCCTGAGATGTCTAAGCCCTGTTATTTTCTGCAACAATTATGGCAACCGCGGCAGGACTTTGAGCGATATTTCGCTGAGGATGGCATGGACCAACCGGTGCCCAATCAAGGCCGTCTCGCCCAACCTTCAAGTGCCAACAGAGAGTTTCTCTGGGAGGAGGCAGATGACCCCCCCTTGAGTACCCGATCCAAGAATTGGACCGGGATCAGAACAAGTCAATAAATTACACTGGCTGAGAAGAAGATGCCTTCAGGCAAGTATTGTGGGAATTGTAGACCGACTCGGTTGAGAGTGGAAGAGGGGGCCCGATCACACCCCTAAGTCCGGGATAGCGTCCTTTCCTAACGGAACCAGCATATCCTAATGAGGCTGTAGAATTGTGTGGGTGGTTAAGCCACTGCAGTTCCTGTTAGTGACTGTAAGTCTCCGGGACCTCAGGTCAGTGGCATTGTCTTAGATTAGAACATGAGTGGTGGAGGAAGCGTTCCTCAGACGCCTCTTCAATGCATGTTGAGAAATTTTAAGAAAGGTTTTTAGTAGAGATTATGGAGACCCTAAGATCAATCCAGGAGACTTAAAAAAATTCTGTGAAAATGGTGGTCCAAGAGGTTTGAGTCCTCTATACCTGATTGGATTACTGTAACGCACTCTACATGAGGCTGCCCTTGAAGAGTGTTCAGTTAATCCAGAATGCAGTCCAGAATGCAGAAGACTTCAGTTAGTCCAGAATGCAGCCGCGCGAGTGATAGTGGGTGTGTCTAGGTACACCCATGTTACACCTATCCTCCGCGAACTGCACTGGCTTCCCATTGGTCTCTGGACACGTTTCAAGGTGCTAGTCATTACTTTTAAAGCCCTACATGGTTTAGGACCTGGTTACCTGAGAGACCACCTCCTGCCATTTACCTCTCAGAGACCTATAAGATCATACAGACTAGGCCTCCTCCGGATTCCATCTGCCGGTCAATGTCGGCTGGCAACTCCCCGGGGGAGGGCCTTCTCTGTAGCGGCTCCGGCTCTATGGAACAATCTCCCTGTGGAGATCTGGACCCTTACTACTCTTCCAGCCTTCCGCAAAGCGATTAAGACCTGGCTGTTCCGGCAGGCCTGGGGCTGTTGATTTTTCAAGCCCCATTCTGAGCTATGAATGTTGTGAAATTTTAATGTCTGTTTTTTAATTTTTATATGTTCCCCCTTCCTGCTTTTATCTGTAAGCCACCCTGAGTCTCTTGAGAGTGGGCGGCATACAAATCCTAATAAACAAACACTAAACACTAAACACTAAAAAGGAGTTTGAAGTGGAGTAATTATGGGCAGAAAATATTCCTCCAGAACATGCAGGTCACCATACACCATTAGTCATTCAAGTAAAGCCTCTGACAGTGCCTATTCATCTCTGTTAGAGAAATGATCCTCACCCCACTGCACAAGCAATTCAAGACCATATTACCAAATACTTAAGAGCAGGCAATAAAAAAGTAAAACTGTCTGAATGGGAGATCCACGCTAGAAACCTGGTCGAATGCAAACAACGTGAACAAACATCTCTATACATCCTATACGACCTTAGTTTTGTTATGACTCAAACAAAAGTTAAGAACTTAGGGAAGGTCTATCAAATTCAACAGAAAAAGGATGAAAATTCAGGGGAATTCCTAGAATGCATTTATCAAACCTTTAGGCAATATACCACATTAGATCCTGAGATTGAAGAAAATAAGAGAATAGTCAATATGATCTTCATTGGCCACACTGCAGATGACTTCAGGGTAAAAATTACAGAAGACAAAAGGGGGCGCAGGAAAGACATCTCCGAACTTGTGGAATGAGCATACAAAGCGTATATTAAGTGGGCTCAAAATCTCAGAGAAGAAGGAACTTCAAAGGGCAAGAAGAAATGTAATTTTTTCTCGCCAAGACCCTTAGAAATCTAAGAGTGTCTATAATTTTCTCTTTAAGAACATTCTTGATGACAGAAAGAACTAATTTTACCCTTTGGCCAGGGAGGCCAGGCTCTCCTTGAAGACCAGGGATTCCAGTTGTGCCAGGTGGTCCCTGTACAAATAAGCAAAATTAAATATTTGAAGCAGAAAAGTCCTGATACAAAATTGGTAAATTCTTGAAATACAGGTTTATTATGAACTCCCAAAGCCACAGTACTATGTTATCACTGAATGAAAAGAAATGAATGAATTTACAGTTTCCCATCTATTAAAAAAATCTGCACAATTGCATCACAAGAGAAGATAGCATAATATAATATACAAAGCCCTACCTTCATTTAGCATGCACATAGATATTTGCATGAGTCAGATATCATGCCACTGACGTATTATAAAAGACTACACCCATTATTTTTACAGTGTTTCCCATGTGGCTTAGCAATTCTATTACATTCTTAACATTATTAGTTGCTATTGAAATTGTTGTTGCTTTTCCTGCAATGGGTTAACACAACCTCTGGGTACCCCCAATGTCATTTCCCTTCTTTGAAAATGAGTTGCAAAAACTCACCTGGGGGCCTTTAATTCCTTGTTCTCCATTAAATCCTGGTGAGCCAAGGTCACCTTTATTTCCCTAAGGAATTAAAACAATTGAATGGAGAATGTAATGAGATGACAGATAGATAGATAGATAGATAGATAGATAGATAGATAGATAGATAGATGGATGGATGGATGGATGGATGGATGGATGGATGGATGGATGGATGGATGGATGGATGGATGGATGGACGGACAGACAGACGTAGACATCAAGAGAGGGAAAGGGAGATAAAGAGATAAAAGGAGTGGAAGAGTGAGAGAGAAAAAGAGAAAAGCTTTTATACAGCTACTGTTTAATAAGGCAGAGTGGCATTTTCTTATATTTGTTTGATTTCAGTTAAAATCTGCATTCTTCTTGGGCATGAGGAACAAATGGAAGTAGGTTCTGTCAGTGGATGGAACTTTTTTCAGATGCAGTCATTTACATTACTTGAGTTTTAAATTTATTTTCCTCTGGGATTACCCACATACTTGATTAAAAATTTCAGTCTCCTTAACCATTTATGTCTACAAAACTCATGGACAGATGTGGGCCAGTCAGAATTTCAACCAGTCTATATTAACCTAATTTACAGAGTTGCTATAAGGATACAGTGCACACAAAAACCATGTACTATATACTATATTTAGGTTTTTTTGCAGAAAACTAGAATAAAGATGGGGATCAGGGTGATATTGCAATGACTCCCTTCCTTTAGCTAACATCATCCTCTCTGTTTACAAGCTTTTCATTGTTCTTTATTGTTTTCAGTGGATAACTGTTTTTATGAATTTATTGAGTTTTCTTTTTAATTCACTTTTGTACACTACCCAAAGTCACACTGTTGTGAAATGTGAAGCCATATAAACATGATAAATAAGTAAAGATTTACAACTAAGTTGCCCTATTGGACTAAAGGTCTTGCTTATTACAATTTCATAAGCAGTTTTTGAAAGAAATGTTTGTAAAATATATCTATTCTGTGCATGCATGTTTATACCTGAAAAATAATACATAATTTGTCCCAGAAAGGATTTTAAAATGGTTTTATATCTGAACCATACTAGTAGGCTGTATAAGTACCATATATTCTTCTCAACAAATTCTCCTAAATGCAGTTATTTAACAACTGAGAATTAAAAAACCCAATATTCTATATTTTTCATTTTCTCAACTTTTATTAAGGTATTACTTAGATTTGGCTATCCTCACCTCCCTTACTATATGTGTATACAATATTTATAAGACACACATAGCACATAGCACAAACATACATCATGTAAAAACATAATAAAGACTTACTTTGATACCAGGTGGTCCTCTTTTGCCAAGTGATCCCTTGAAATAAATACAAGTAATAGTCATTAATTGTTATGCAGAGATATCACTAGAAAAATATTTTTCTGTATTTTGGTAATTATCTACAGCTTTTTATTCTCTGAGGATTTTTTTTCTTGTAGATACTCAAACTGAAAATGTATATCTTTCAACAGCTAAATGCTATAGAAAACAGAAGATTTAGACTTCAAGGTGTCTTAATTCTAAAGATTTTAAAATTTATTTTTGTGTTACGTTATCTTTGTAAACACTAACTTCTATTTAGCAAGACCAAGCAAGAGATTTGTGCTTGCCCCCTCTTCTTAGCCAGTCAGATGAAAGCTCAACAACTGACTTTGTCTTGGTACATGTTTGCACAAAGGAGTGATTCCTGGTTACAATAAATGGGCTGCTAGTTCTTTTTAATTGTATTAAGACACCAAGGTATGTCCAGAAAGCACCCACATACCAACGTTCAATGAATTTCATCATTCTAACCCATCTTAGATTTTTTGTATTTTTAAATATAACATGAGCTCAATATTAGTAATAGATAATGTATATAGATACTAAACAGATAACCAAACCAACACCATAAAAGTAAAATTTGCAGTTAAACGCTATCAACACAAATGTCATCCACAGAATTTTTAGAATAAACGAAGCAAAGTATACATACAGCTTATCCATCTGCTCACATTAACTATAACTTCCCATAACAATCAGAAAGACACATGCACACACAAAGCAACAATAGTTTCCTAGGCAAGATGCAGACATTCAAGCAATCTTCTTCTGTCTTATAAAGACAATAGTAAAGATACCATAGAATCAAGCTCAACATCTTGTTTCTAAAATGGGAAGAAATGTGAATATGTTTTAACTTCTATGTTTGTTTCAATGCTCCACTGGTATAACATCCCACTGAGTTTAAATCAACAACAGCAGGGGCATGACTGATCCCAGTTGTCAGAGTAGTCAGGACACACACAAAAAGAGTGTCTTGTTTCCATTGCAAAGACAGTATATTTTGTGATAAATGTTTTGTGCACATCCTGACCCAGCTCTAGGTCTATTTCTTAACATGAAGTAAAGCACTGAGAGAATCTTCCTACTTTGATTATCATTACTCCTTAAACATAATTTTGTAGCAACTACACATGGCTCCATCCCAACCAACATCCTTTTCCCCTTCTTCCCCAGTTCCCTTCTGGGATCAAGATATGTATCTTCCAGTGATGGGTTTCAAATTTTTTTAGAACCTCTTATGTAGGTATGGTGTGCTTTGTGGGAGTGGCTTGCCAGCCATGTGACTAGGTGGGCGTGGCCAACTTGTAAAATGTGGTGAAACTCACTTAACAATGCTCTGGCTTAGCTCAGAAACTCTGGCATTTGAAGCACGCAAATCTTAAAGCTGTCAAGTTACAAGACCCTTGCACCCCTAACCCTTTAGGAAAAAAAAAACCCAGGGGTGTTCAAACTTGACAGTTTTAAGTCTTGTGGACTTAAACTCCCAGAATTCCTCCTCTTGCTCTTCATCTAGATGATGTTTGGACGGGTGGGGGGAGGGGGCTGGAACCAGTTCTAAATGGCACTGTAGATTTGTGGAACTTCTATAGAAGAGGTTAGGACTGGCAGGAATCTACCCCTGGCATCTTCCCATCTTCATCTGAGATTGTTAGTGGTGAAAGTAAGGGTTCTTTCTCTCTTTTATTACAGGCACAAAACTATTAATGCTACTATGCTATCTTTCCTAGTTCTCTGTCCAGATCAAAGTTTTGCATCACATTAATTCACATCATCTCAAATCAAAGCCAATGAATTAATCAATATTTCATATTCAGACACTTAACCAATGGATGCTAAATGAGCTTCTCCAAAATAATGCAACGCTGTTGACAAAAGTACAACACAATAATCAGTCTTTATTTAGTTCTTTTCCCATTGATTATTTTCCTCTTCTTCCTACTATCTACCTCAGTTTGGTTTAGATATTTAGTAAATATCAAAATAATAGAAATTAAACAAATACATTAGGTTTTAAAGTGAGAATCTCAGCACAAATCCCATACAATTATAAGATCTTACTTACAGTGCTCCTATATTATTCTAAATCATCCACATATGCATATATGCATACATTCACACACACACAGGTCTATTATTGTAGAAACTATGTTATTAGCAAATCAAATAGCAGAGGAAATTATACACACATCTCTTCCAGCTTCTCCTGCGTCACCCCGTGGTCCATCTCTTCCAAGTTCTCCCTGTAAAAATACAAAACACTGGAATTGTTTATCACTAAACAAGAGACAAATGTAAGTCACAACAGGACAATAAAAACATTTTAGTAGAAAGTATTTTTGAAAAAATTTCTTTTCTTCTTTTATTTAAATTAGGCCTGTGTTTTTTATATGAATGGATCCTGGAATGGGGGAATTGAGAAAGATTCTGACCTCACTTATTGCCAAAAATCTTTCTTTTTTCATGAAACATTATAATGAGGAGACAAGGTAGGATTTATATTGATTTTCAAAAACTGGTTAAATTTTCTTTCAAATTAGAGAGATCTTAAGGCTCATGCCATCATTAGTTCAAAGAGTGTTTTATAGGATGGAAAAACTTGAGTTGGAGAAATTATAATTAGTTATATAAATTAAAGTTATATAAATGATATTAGTTTTATATTTTACCCAAATACTCTATCGCTTTACTGATGGTTTCTTATCCTAGGTGATTATATTATATTGTTTTCTGGATTGATCTCACCAGTTGATCTGACCTGTCATTGATTTCATCTTTAATTTATTAACTTTTATTCTTCATCCCTCCCATTTCTATTATGGGAAAACCAAAAATGTCTGTAACAGAATAACAGAATTGGAAGGTATCTTGTAGGTCTTCTACTCCAACCCACTGCTCAAGCAGGAAATCATATACCATTTCAGACATATGGCTGTCCAATCTTTTCTTTAAAACCTCTAGTGATGGAATACCCACAACTTCTGAAGGCAAGCCACTCCACTGGTTAATTGTCTCATAGTCTCATGCAGCTTTATTTTTCTTGTTGATAAGGTAATTAATCCAGTCATTAGTTTGCATTAAATTCTCCCAAGCAATCTTGACTGGATTTTGGAGGTTCTAGATCAGTCTCCCAAGCCAGGTAGCATGTCTGTCTAACCCTCCTACAAATCCAAGGATTGATATTTTACCGCTGGTCCAAGTTCTCCCTTTTCTCCTTTGGGTCCTCTGTCAGTGCTATCGGTTCCAAAAGTACCCTGGAAGCAGCCCAAGCAATGAAAAGCAAGCAGAGTGAGACAAAAGTTATTACACAGTTTATAACATAGTGATGGATACAGTTCAGAGAAATAGACTGTTTTCAATCCTGACATATCCACAAAACTCATCTCATAACCCAGTTTTCTTCATCTCTCTCTAACTTTTCTAAATGCATGGGTGCATATTTAGGACACTAGACTATAGGAAGAGAAATCCTTACTTAGAGGTGTTGATACATAGACCTTGTTTACACTACTGTATACTTTGACCTTGTTTGATAACTTGCTTCAGCTAACTAACATATTTATATTGGAAAAGAGACATGGAAAGATAACTTTAATGATTACCTGGGCCTCTTGGAAAAAATCTGGTTTGCTTGGGTTTACAAAGCAGAGTAATTTGGGGTTTTAATCATTTATAGCCCAAAACTGCATTGATGAAAAATTTGCCCTTAAAACCTGGCTGTTCCGACAGGCCTGGGGCTAAAGAATTGTTGCCCCCGTCTCGAATGGTATGACTGTTGTGTGTTTTAAATTATGTATTGTTTTGTGTCGTTTTAATTTTTTGTTTGTATCCCCCTTCCCTGGTTTGAGTTGTGAGCCGCCCTGAGTCCCCTTCGGGGAAAAGGGTGGCATATAAATAAAATAAACATTCAAACAAACATTCAGTCCTATCCCTGGAATTTGGGGTACTGGTTGCTTGAATTCTATTCTGCACAGAATTTAATATTTGCATGAAATGATGATAAAAACCTCATTAAGAATGAATGGAATTCTCATTGATTCAGATTATTTTTAGAAGAATTTATGCAGAAACAAATGTCTTTATGATCTAGATTTTAGTCCATGTATTGTTATGCTGAATTGGGATTGTTGCCTCTCTTTTCTGATTGGTTTTTCCTGTTTAACTACTAGATGACAGGATTTATGCAATGAATATCTCCTAGTGGCTTTGATAAGTAACCAAAATTCACAGATGTTACCACATTAGAAAGAAGAAACTGAGAAATAAAAATATGAATGTGAAAGGGCAAAGATGCACAGGTTATAATTCAAGATGATCAGAGGACCACAGGTGATATTCCAATTAAACTGATTTATTACAATTCATGCCTATGCCTAGGAATCTAGTGAATCAAGGATAAGGGTAAACAGAATTCAAGAGGGATTGGACAGTCAATTTGTGGCTATGTAGAGATTCTAGGCTGATTCTAACTTTTTTTACTCCACCTCCAGGTTTTACTACTCCCTTCCCTCTGGATATTGACTCACTCATGACATTGTATGCTGCCCAACTATTTCCAGCTCATAGCAGATACAAGTTTAGAAATCAATAGCATGCACCTTTACAGGTGCTTCATCAGAGGTGGGGTGCTCCCATGTTCAGCCCGGATCGGGTGAACTAGTAGTATCAATGGCGGGAGGCTCCACCTACCCACCTGGACGTTTCTGTGCATGCACAGAAGCACCCGAACCATAGCAAAAAAAAATTGGCAACCCACCACTGTGCTTCATCCTGCCCAACTTCCCATTACCAGGGATTGGTCTTTACTAAACAGCCAATAGATTCTGAAATAGAGGAGACTGAGAAAAAAATAGAAGTGGACCGGTTGCTCAGTTCTGAAAACAATTTCCTATCCTCAGCATGTGCTTTGAAGTGCTCTCCTGACCCTTGATTTTACACTGTTTTACCTCATAGACCTCAAGATTTCAATAAAAGTAAAGTAATTGTTGCAAGTGTCAAGCCTGCCCATTTTGATAGTTGACATCTTAAATCTGCTGCAATTTTTAATCTTTTTAAAAATAGCTATTACTAAAAGATTTTACATGTATAATAAGTTAAAAATAGTAAATATGAAAGAGAAAGGAAAGGAAAAAAGATATAAAGAAAAAAATATCTCCGTTTTTTCTTTTTTTCTTTGTTCCTGGAATTAGAAATCTAAAGTATATACATCTCAATACATTTCAACATATTTACCGGATCACCTCGAAGTCCATGGTCACCTGGGTCTCCTATTTCTCCTTTGTTTCCTCTGCCACCCTATGGAAATTATTTCCGTAATATCAAAATCTTTGCCCATAACAATGGAATCCTGTAATTAATGTGACTTTCACCTTGACCTGGCTGATATTTCTAGCAACAGAATAACCAGAAAAAGGATACTAAACCAGCTGCCTCCATTTTTTTCCAGTGAGTGGCTTATTCAGTGATACAACTGGACTACATCTTATCTCTAATTAATCTCTCCAGTTAGGACTTTACTGAAGAAAACAAAAATATCTGAGACCTCTGCTGATTTCCCAGATGTCTCTTGTAGCTCTATAACAAGCAATACATTATTTGGCTGTTTGGAGTTTTTCTCTTTTCAATTTTGAAGTTTTGGAATAATTAAAAAATAATTACACTTACCAGTCTACCAAGGCTCCCCCTCTCCCCAGGAACACCTGGAAAGCCTCTATCTCCCTGGCAAAAGCAATCAAATTAATTGAATTTATTAATCAAAGTGAGTTACTGAAATGAGTTGTAACCAGAAAGAAATGTTATTTCATGTTATTTATTAGTCCAAAAGTAACTCAAATAACTCACCTCTTCTCCGTCTATTCCATCAAGTCCATTTTCCCCAAATTCGCCCTACCGAATCAAAGAATGTAATTAATTATTATAATCCCAAAAAAGAAATACTGAGATGAAATTGACAATGAGAAAAGTATAATAGAGGGGAATGTGTATTCTTTTTTCTTCGGTTATATTGAAATTGTTACGTACCTTTTCTCCTGGGAATCCACGGCCCCCCTACAAAAAAGAAAGAATTTTCATTTATCTAATTAAAAATTTATTCAATTTCTCAAAACCTCTAGCTACAGAATAAAATGAGTAGTCAAAAAATATTCAGATAACCATCACAGTAAGAATTGTTTCCATTTTTTCTATAAAATTAAGGAAAAGTTGGAATGACCTCAAAATAAATGGAAGATAAAAATAAATTGAAAACAAAAAAAGCAAAAAAGATTGTTTCTCAATGAGTAAGAAAGTTTCAATTTATCTGTAAAAGATCACAGCTTGATGCATACACTTCATTTTTTTAAAAAATCCACTGAAATCTCACCGCCCATTCAGGGAAGATGTGTAGGCTATGATTGGTTAAGGTAAATTCAATACATATATTCTGTTTCTAACTTCTGGAAACTTTCTTTTCTTACTCTCCTGTTCTTCTGAGAGCTTGCCTTCACCCATCGGTTCCCCACTCCATCCCCAAAAGTATTTGTACAATACTATTGAATAATTTTTTATCAGATGCTACAATGTGATTGTAGTGAACTAGTGTAAACTGGGTTGGTGTCTATTGAGAAGTCCTTATAGTATGTGTTCTTCTTCTGTAGAGCCCAATTCTCTTCCTTTACCTTCATTCCCCTTTCACCTGGACAGCCTTGGAAACCTTGGGTTCCATTTATCCCAGGAGGTCCACGTTCACCCTTTGACAAAAAAGAAAGAAGTATGAGAGTCAACATGGATACCTCTTCAGTCGCAAACATATTTCTGAGAGATGGCAGTTAAAGAAAACGGAAACCTGAATACTAGAAAGGAAAGGAGATGTCAAGTTCTGTAACAAGAATATTACATTGGATGTTATTAGAATATGGGACATTTCTATCATGCTACATTCAGACAATCCTGTCAGGTAGAAGTATACAGTTTTTATAATGCAAAACATGTGATTGCAAGGAATTTCAGTCCAAAGATCATATTTGATCCAGGGCTATTGGGATCCAGTTACTTGCAATGGGCAAGGCCATAGTGTCTTTATTTCATGGAGGCAAATTTTCTTTTATATTCTTCATCCAAACACATGCACACATGCCTGCTCAAAATTTGATCAGACTCCAGAATGGCAACGAGACATATACAATGCAATACTAGAATAATGGACTCTATTCCAAAGCTTGTCTCAAACAAAGATGTTTCGCCAACCTCCACAGAAATGCTCTCAAAAATGTTTCCCAACTAGCAATAAGCTTTAGAAAGACGTCTGTGTGCACAAATTGAAATTTTAAAGCTGGATTACAGTGAGGATTTTTGATACACAGTTCTGAGAAGACATTTAGATCTCCTCCTAACATCCACGCAATCACAATCTGCCCAACATGTGCCTGAAAAAAATCCCCACTAAGAGGCTCCCTAATCCTTGATTACATGGAGCAGGATGGAGGGAGTGGGGGAGTTTACCCACACCCAATTCATCTTTGTTCTTTTCTTTTTTAGTGAAGCACCTTGTGCTCTAGACACAAAAGAATAGGATTATTGCCTCCTTAGTCATCTCCACTTGATTTCCATTAAGAGAGAATTTTGTTTAGCTTAACATTAGCCTTTCAGCATTGGATAGTAGTGTTACAATGTTTTATATGACACCCCAATCAGGGGAGAGTTCTGGCAGCCATTACTGCTGGTTTGCTCATGGGCACGCTTGATGCATGGTGCGCGTGCATGCATAGTGCAATAAAAATTGTTTTGCGCATGCACAGAAGCAAAAAACAAGATGTTGGAATTTATGGCATGGCCAAGAGAACTGGTTCAGGAGTGTCACAGGCCTGGGTCGCTGCCGGTTCCAGTGACCCAGACCACCAAACTACTACCAGTTTGGCTGAACCAGGCCGAACCGGTAGGAACCCACCACTGATCTGAATGCCAAGCTGTTTGTCCTTGTTAAGGAACTGTGTAAATAGAGATACTTAATGGCACATTTAATCTGGATGTTTGTGTATCTATGTGTGTCTGTATGTCTGTCTTTGTGTGTGTGATTCCAGATTCACATGGAATTTAAATGGCATGTGAAAACTCTATAAGGCTTGGATTTTTTATTAATGTGCATAGCAGGTAAGAAAAGATAGACTGTATTTTAATCTATAGGTAGCATGGAAGAAAAAAGCAAAATGTTGCTTATATTCTCCTCATCATAAACCAAAATTGTTGCAGCACTAAAGTTGTGGTACCATATTCCTCCTCCTCCATCCCTTCATCCATCTTCACAGCAAAAGTATTGATAATTTTCTTCTGTTCAGGTATTGAGAAACATTTACTTACCAGTCCACCTTCATCTCCTGGATAGCCTCTATAGCCATTTTCCCCTGGAATTCCCTTAAAAACACAAAGAACATATTTATACATAAACTTGAGTTGGTATTCTGAATATCCTATATTTTATCTTTAAGCTCAATTCTGCCTTTTTACAAATAAATTATAGTAAGTCATTGCAGTGAATATCTGAATATGATCTCAAAAAAGCTTGAGATTATACATAAACAGTGTGAGTGTGTGTATGTGTGCATTCTCCCAGGTTAGGAATTACAGCTCCAAATGCTCCTACCACCATTGCGACCACTTTGGCCTTAACTTTCCACATCCTCTCCAGTTCCTCCTTTAGGCCTGGAAACTCTTCAGCTTCTCATACTATTTCTTTCTGATGTTGCTGTCACTTGGCACTGCTACATCTATTACTGTCACTGTCTTCTGCTCCTTGTCTACTACCATAATGGCTGGTTGACTGGCTAGAACCTGTCTGTCCATCTGGATCTGGAAGTCCCACAGGATCTTAGCCCTCTTATTCTCCATGACCTTCTGTGGGATCTCCTACCTGCGTTTGGGAGTCTAAACCCATACATTGTGCAGATATTCTTGTTCACAATGAAGCAACTTGGTTGTGCCATTTAGTATATGCTGCTCCTGCCTGCATCTTACATTGTGCCAGTATGATATTGGACTATCTCTGGGGTCCCTCTGCATAGTCTGCACCTTAGATCCTATCTAATATGGTAGACCCGTGCTTCTAAAGACCTGATGTTTCAAGCCTTTTTCTTATGCTGCTATGATCAGTGCCTGGGTGCTATCTTTTAAATTTAACCCTTTCCAGCCACTGGTCCAATTTTCTAATTTTATATATAGAGAGAGCGTTCATGTTATCTCATTCATTTAAAATTATATCTCTAATGCATAGATCAATATATAATTTGTTTATAGTTTCACCTACATAGCAAAGCCTTCAATAGAGTTGCATTCTATTTTTTAAATATTTCAAGTACTGTCAAGCACAGGTGAAATGTGACACTGAGTATCAAAATTAACTCTAGAAGCTCCAAATTCTGAGCCAAAAACTTTTGTTAAACAAGGTACTGAAATGAAATTCATATCAATTTTAACCCTAGAAATTTAAATACATAAAATGGATACCATAGATTGAAACATGCTTTCTAGATAAGACATCATGAGTACAATATAGAGATCACTATCCAAGAGTGTAGTGGGGATCCAGAGAACCACTGCAGGTGAATTCAAAACTCTGGGCATCTTTTGTATTTCTCCTTTGAACAGATCCATCTCATTCCCATAGATGCCTTATTATAAACTGTAAAACCCATGTTAAATATCTCACCTTTGGTCCAACTGTGCCTGGAAATCCTCTGTCTCCCCGTTGTCCGGAACATTTGCATGGGACTCCACAACATGATCTTTCTGCAATATTGTCCTGAATAAAACAGACTACTAATTAAGTAAAAAATAGATTATTAAAATGCACATATGTGCACAATATTGTTCACTGTTACATTTGTGCAATATTGAGCTTTAACTGAAATAATAGCTTGGAGAATGAAAAGAGTACTGAAAACACGGAGGAGAAGAAATATTATCAATATAGTAATTGATCATATGTTGAAAAATAAATACATTTCTCAAAGATAACAGTGCTAAAACAGGCTGAAAGATAAATATATGAGCCAATTAAGGATTTCTCCACAAAACTCTAGTGGGCAGGGTAAGAGACAGAGAAGAGACCTTTTCTACTTTTTCTGGTTATAAAGGCTACTTTGGGGGTGGGGGGTCTGGCAGTAATTGCCCTTTCATGCTTGGAAGATTCTGTCAATGTAACTTTATAATAAAGTAGAATTGGCTCATCAGGCGTCTCCAATTTACCGCAAATTGCCAATACCAATCTTTCAAGAATGGATACACCCTAATCTAGAATGCATTATGTGGGAAGATTGAGGGTAAGTCAGGAATCCAAGAAATTGGATTCCTGGAATATTTAGTGGGGCTGTGCACACTTCTGCTTGGAAGGGTCAAAGGTCTTGCAGAGAACATGGAGATGCCAAGTAACTCCAAAGCATGTTTTCACTTTCAAATCTGAAATACAATGCAACCCTAGTATATGGTTAGATAAGTTGCAGTCATGCTATATCACAGAGTGCTCTTGCAGCATAAAAGAGGGGAAATTGGCATACAAATCAGAGAACTGCTGGTTCATATTTTACCTCTACCACAGTCTCACCCGGCAGCCTTTAGCAAACTTCTTTCACAACTTTAATGTCCCTTTTCCTCAACTGTATTATGGAGTTAACAACAGCGATGTACCATACTGATTTGTAGGAATATACAAAATGTCTCGGTTCTAACATAGGTTCTAACAAATTCAGGAATTTAGCAGACTTTAGTCTGCTGTACAGTAGCCTTCAAATTAGCTTTATTGATTGATCCATCTGGGATATTGATTTGGCACAGCAGTTTCCCAATTCAATAATTCTGGACAAGGGATGAAGTTTTCATCATATTTTATTCAAGGATAACAGCCACAAATAGCCTTTGCAATGACCAGAAAGATGTTACAGGCCGGCGGAGGCTATTTAAATGGTATCTGTGCAGTAATTGTTCAGGCCATTCACTAATATAGAAAATGTTATATGAGAAGAACAAATAACATGGCTTACATAAAGGCCCCTTCCTCTTTGAGGGAACTGCTTTGTAATTTTTAACTTTTTCATCTCTGAACTTCACAGAAGTTACATTTTATGGACAAAATGTACATTAGGTATCATAAAAAAACCCTGATTACATTTCTTCAAAAATGCAATATTGTTACATAGCTGGTACTTGCAAATATATATCCATAATGGCATTAAGAATAAAGTATAGACTTCAGTTATTTACCAATTGCTCTGTCACTTCGAAGTCTAAATCCAGCTGATTCACTAGGAGAGGTTTATTATAAGTAAAGCCACGTCCAAATTCCAGTTTCATTGCTTCTTCAAAATTAGATACTCGGTCCAACCCAACAAGAATAAGAGCCTTGACACCTAGAGAAGATAGGAGGGGGGGGGGATCCATCTTGAATAATTGTTCATAATCCCTGAAGGATAATGTTCATCCTGTATTCTATCTTGTTATCTGAGAAAGGATTAGATAAGTTGGTTCTATTTAGCTTCTCCCCCTTCCACTTCATTTCTCAATGTTAAATCTGTTTTATTCTATAATCTCCAAAAGGCCGCCCAGCAGCCATGTTGAATGCTGGTTCTCTGTGCCACAGCACTTTCTGGATGGGACTTAGAGGAAAGCAGCAGGTCACAGCTGCTAAATTGATGCTCAAGAGACTCTCTCTCTCTCCCAGCAAGAGAAGCAATTGCAGACTTGGAGAACATCTCCGCGAGCGACCGAGGCTTGGCAAGGGATGGAAGAAGCAGCTCCAAGATCTCCACTGCAGCACTTTCCGGATGGGACTTCTCACAGGTAAGAAGAACCATCCAGTCCATTCCCAAATCACTTCAGCCCTCCTCTCCCCTCAGTTTAGTGTGGCAGGCTGCAGGCTGAATAAATTGCTTCAGCCCCGGGAGGCGGTAGCTTGAGGCCAGAGGGGGGCAGCAGCATGTGGATGGAGGCCCAGGGCAAGGCTGGAGCCAGGGAATGGTGCATTCCCCAACCCAGCTGAGGCGGTCAACGAGTGGGCAGTGGCCCCAGGGCAAGGCCAGAGCTAGAGAATGGCATGTCCCTGGGTCCCAACCCAAGGCAAAGATCAAACAGATGGCATGCTTACCTTTGGTGAGCAGAGCAGGTAGGACATGGAGATTAGGTGGACGGTCTGGACCACATGGCGAAGGGAAGATACTATATAGGGCAGGGTGGGGTGGGTAGGGTGGGGCTAGCCGGTGGTCAATTTTACCAGTTCTGCGAATTGTGCAAAATCGGAACAACTGGTTCACCCAAACCGGTCCAAACTGGCTGAATCCCACCCCTGGCTTTTAGGTTATTCTATATTCATTTATCTGAAAGACTTGATCAGTGTGAATACATGTATGTAATCTCAGAAGTCCCAACTAAAATGAATTTTATGTCAGTATGAAATAAAGCCTTATAAAACATACCGTCTTTCTTTAGACTCATTGATGCAGTTGCCAGTGGTCCCATAGCACCATCAATGCCATCAGTTAGGTGGATCACCACCTATGAATGAAGAGCTTTGTGTTACTAAAGATAAGTTGTGAAGTGCTCCTCAGTGAAAACATCAGCCAGTCACTGATTTGATATTCAAGAATGCCCCGAGGCTCTTAGATGTAGGCAATTAACAATTATACAGTGCTGAAACAATGACTTTTTGCAAGGCAACACACTAAGCCCAGTTCTTTAAATACAATTGCTACAAATTATTATACTGTATATATTGTACTTCCATACACTCTCCCCTTTTCTTCTCTGATTCCAGTAGATCAGTTCAGCTGGCCAGTTTGGCTAGTCTAGCCCTGCAGGTGTAGACTCCTCAAAGTCACATACTATATGCATCAGTGTAGCCTAGATACAACTATTGGTTTTACTTTCACTATTACAGCAGGACATACATGACACCACACAGCAATCACCTGCGGTGGGGGTTCCATAGAATGATATTTTGATGCAGCAAAAAGATTTCCTTTTCCAAATATGAAAATCAAGTCAACATTTACCTTTGTACTTCCAGTAGGAGCTGTTTTAAATTTATTCTGGTAAGACTTGAGGGTGTCTGCTGTGAGCACATATGGTCCATCATTTCGCAAGGCTTGGAACTTTTCAAACAACTCCGGCTGATACTCTGAGAAATCAAAGGCTTCTACAATTCCAGAGGGAGTCTGTGCCAGAAGTGCTACACGCACTGTGGGTGCCTGGTTGGGAGTACAACTAATTTTCTGCATTTGACTGATTCTGTTCAGAATATCTTCAATTGATGATTCCAGCATACTTTGTACACTGAATATGCTTTGCCCTTGTACGGTATTTGAGACATCAAATCCAAGTATGACATCCAGATTGCAATCTAGAATAGAAAAAATGGCAAATCTATCAAACATAAAGTAAAGGGAAAGTGGCATGGGGAAAAAGACACTGGAGACATGGAGGCTGCTTGGAAAGATGGTTTATTTGTGGACAGGACCACATGGCTTGAGTCCTGAACAGAAAAGGTGATCACATGCTTCAATGTTGGTGGAGAAAAGAGAAGGAAAGACTGAGATGCTGAGTCTCTGGTTTCATGCCCTCTCTGGCTTTTGATTTTGATCTTGTATTCTGATTGGTTGTCAGACTCCCATGGGGCCATGCAGGGGCAACTCTCTAGGCTGCGTTTTGAATCCAGGTTTGGTTGAGCTCTCAGATGCCATGTGGTGAGTTGGGTAAAGGGCCAATATTATCATGCCTTAATCCCATCCCCCTCTGGAGCTGAAGTGGAGAAGTCTTTATTATGTAAAGGGACTAGTTGGGCTTCTTAATGGCCCATTGACAAAGTGGGGATGGGCAGGAAGCTACAGGAAGCTATTCTGTCTTTAAAACATGTTTCTTTCTTTTCACATCCAGAGAAATATTCTGCCTTTTCAATATTTCCTAGGATATTTCATTTTTCTGGGAGAGGGCTGGGTGATAACTTCCTACAGTACCATGTAAAAATAAGTATCTAAAAGTAATTTCTGGATTTCTAGTCAAGAATAGCTGCTCTGTTTGCACTATTCATTAATATCCAGAAATACATCACTTGATCCAACATCACACTATGATCAGCTTTCTATGAAAAATCAGACAGTCTCACCATTTTGTGTTATTTTCCCCCAAACTGGTATTAGCATAGAAATTTGCGTATTAATAAATAGCTACACTTAAAAATGGACTATAGAACATACAGGTAATCCTTGACTTACAACAATTTGTTTAGTGGCTGTTGGAAGTTATAATGGCACTGACAAAAGTTGTTTATGGCTGTTTTTCATATTTACAACCTTTGCAGCATCCCCATGATCAAGACAATGAAGAAGCCACATTCACTTAACAACTGCAGCAATAAAGATTGTAAAATGGGGTAAAACTCACTTAACATGTCTTGCTTGGCAACAGAAATTTGGACTCAATTGTGATCATAAGTTAAGGACCAAGAAGAAGGGCCTTCTCTGTATTGGTTCCCTCCCTGTGGAACATCATCTCACGGAGAGAAGATTGGCCCCCATTTTGACACTCTTTCACAAGGCCCTGAAGATCTGGTTTTTACAACAAGCCTGGGAAACTCAGAGTGGGATGGATCCCATCAAGTCACTTTTTGATTGACTAATTGTTGTCACCAAGCAGTAGTTTTTGCTTTTTATTTATTTATTTACATTGGGTTTTTATCTTTGTACACCACCTGGAATCAGTGAGAATGAGTTGGCCATATAAATTTTCTCAAATGCAAATAAATAAAAATACCACCTATACTTGCTATTATGAAGTTGAATATTAAAATAAGAGAAACAAAAGCCAAGGATTGCTGCATATATAAATTATAGTACGGTGTTGTGTAGATCCCTAAATGTAAAATAAAGCAAAAACAACAACCAGCAACACAAATTGAATAAGATTTTCTTTACCTTTAGAGACTTCCACCACACCACGACATAATTGTTCTCTCATGACATCATTCAGGGTCACCAGAACAGCCTCATTGAGCTCCGAGAGGACCTGGGGAGTTGAAGCCCTAAAAGCTGTTGTGGTGTCACTGGAGAGCTTAGTAATTTCATTCTGGTCAATGTTTTTCACACCAACTGCAAAGACCTTGACACCCGACTGAGACAACCCTAAGACTGCTGACTCTCCATCATCTTCTGGCTTGCCTGCTGTTATAATGAGAGCAATCTGAGGGACATTCTGGTCTTTCCTGCTGCCAGCCTCCTTCACAAAATGTTTTGCTTGGATATGCTTGACACCTGCTCCTGTATTGGCAATTCTGCCTCCTTTGTACGTTATCTTCTTCACTGCTTCTAAGATATGCTCTTTGTCAGAGAAATCCCTCAGAAAGAATTCATCACTCACGTCAGAGTTGTATTGTACTAAACCAACTCGAATGGAATCGCCTTCATCATAAATAGCATCGATTAAGTCATGTATAAATTCAACAACATTGGGGAAATTGTCTCTCCCAAAATTGATAGAGCTATCCAGCAAGAAGACAATATCACCTTGTTTTTTATCAACTAAAAGATTTAAAAGGGAAAAAAAACAGGTATTAGGCAGTTCATTTTAAGACATTTTGCTTTAATCAGTATGACTAGAAATGTTCGTGATTTCTGTATTCACAGAATTCTCAGATATAACTTGTCATTGTTATTGAGAGCAATCATAATGTATTTTCTGAATAAGCACTTTCACAGTGAATAGCACTTTTCCTCATTCTCAGCTTTTGATATCTTATTGGTGAATAAGCTAAAACTGTATTTCAAGGGACCAATTCTCTGCACTACTAGGAGAAAAGAACATAAGAACATCTCCTACCATGCAAAAGTTTATTGAATCCCATTTTTAAAACAATATGTCAAGATGATCAAGTACATCTATAAAATCCAGAGAAAGTAATAAGCTACGGCAATTCAAGGTCATGCAGAGAAAAGGAAAAGAGCAATTTAGAGAAACGCCTCTTGCCCCACTTAAAATAGATCAGATAATTTACAACCGGCTGGTGGACTGGTACAAAAAAAAAAAAACTGGTTTTGAATGCTAACAAAATAAAGGAGATCATTGTTAATTTTAAAAAGAGCCAGCATAGTTATACTCTACTTTGTATCAAAGCTACAGCTGTAGAGGTGGTCAATAGTATTAAGTTTCTAGGGGTGCAGATAACTAACAATCTGACAATCTCTTTATATGTTATGTTTAGTGAAGTGTGCAAACCAGTATTTGCATTTTCTGTGTCGGATGAGGAGAGCATTACTTGGAGGTAAGGCATTTGATAAACTACAACTTACTACTTGTTAAGATAGAAAAACGTGGGTTAGACAGAATCCACCAAATGGATTCATAACTGGCTGATCAACCTCATTTGGCGTGCAGTCCTCAATGGAACTGCATTTACACAGAGAGAAGTATGCAGTGGGGTACCCCAAGGCTTTGTTTTAGGCCCTGTACTCTTCAACATCTTCATCAATGATTTGGACAAGAGGATAAATGGGGAACTCATCAAATCTGCTGATGACACCAAGATGGCAGGAATAGCCAACACTCCAGAAGATAGGCTTAAGACACAGAAGGGTCTTGACAGACTTGAATCTAACAAAATGAAGTAGTATTACTTCATTTTGTAGTATCAAATAGATGGTCCCTTGCTCAATAGTAGTAACTGTGAGAGGGATCTTGGAATCCTAGTGGACAATCTTTTAAATATGAGCCAGCAGTGTGCTGCAGCTGCAACACAATTCTAGGCTGCATTAACAGAGGGATAGGATCAAGATCACGTGAAGCAGGAGTGTAAAACTCGATCGTGTCGTGGGCCAGATCATGATTTATTGTGATGTTTTTGTCTTTGAGAGCTGGGGTGGGCATGGCCTGTGTGAGCCATATCTGGCCCACAGGCCACCAGTTTGACAGCCCTGAAATGAAATGTTAATACCACTTTATAATGCCTTGATAAGGCTACACTTGGAATACTGCATCCAGTTTTGGTCACCACAATGTAAAAAAGAAGTTGAGACTCTAGAAACAGTACCGAGAAAAGCAATGAAGATGATTAGGGGCAGTGGTGGGATTCTTTTTTTTACTATTGATTCTGTGGGTGTGGCTTGAGGTCATGTGAGTAGGTGGGTGGTGATGTGAGTGGGTGGGCAGTCATGTGAGTGGGTGGGCGTGGCCAACTCAATGTCACTCCCACCAAGTCACATGACACACACACCCCAGCCACACCTACCCAGGTTTTGTGGCTCCCAGTGTTTTCTGTGGGAAATGGGTCATGTGACTGGGCATGGCCAACTTGATTGGTCTCACCGTTAGAAAATTTCTCCGTAATCCAACTCACAATAAAGTAGCACTGTTCCAATATTTAGAATAGAATAACAGAGTTGAAAAGTACCTTGGAGGTCTTCTAGTCTACCCCCCTGCTTAGGCAGGAAACCCTACACCACTTCAGAAAAATGATTATCCAATCTCTTCTTTAAAACTTCCAGTGTTGGAGCATTTACAACTTCTGGAGGCAAGTTGTTCCACTGATTAATTGTTCTGTCAGGAAATTTAAGGGGCTCCTACAAAATGAGGGAGTCAATCTATTTTCCAGAGCGCCAAAAGGCCCAACAAGAAACAATGGATGGAAACTAACCAAAGAGAGAAGCAACCTAGGACCAAGGAGAAATTTCCTAAGGGTGAGACCAATTAACCGATGGAATAGTTTGCCTTCAGAAATTGTGGATCTCCATCACTAGAGGCTTTCAAAAAGAGTGAGGGAAGTACACCCCAAAAGGACAGTGCCAAGAACTACTAAAACAATGCAGAAAACTTAAAACAACCATTTCCCCCTTTAAAAAAAAGTCTGAAATGCTATAGGGGGTTGGACTAGAAGGTACCTCCAAGGTACCTTTCAATTTCTGCTATTCCTTTCCATTTCGTTCTAACACTATTTTGAAAAAGATCTTTCTCCTTCTGTCCTGGCCATGTTTTACAGAAGCACAACTGAGAAGGTTTAACAAACTGCATCACTGTTTGGTTTGGTGGTAGCAGTGCTGTTGATAGAAGATCCATACAGAGAGTGGTAAGGACAGCTGAGTAGATTATAGGAAGCTGGCTTCCTGTTAGTCAGGATACTGCTTGGTGGAAATTGGAAATTGGTGTATAACCAAGGTGCAGATCCACATTTGCTTGGCTCATCATCAGTGCAGGTCACCAGCCTCTTTCTAACATGCCATCTTCTTCCCTTCCTAGCCCTTTGCAGATTTAGCCTTACCTGTGTTTTCTAAATACAGTTCAAAACTATTTATTTCCCCAAGCAAAGCAGTCTTCAGAGCATATGGTTTCTGGCACTTCATTCTATCTAGTACCAAGGCCCCTCCGCTCTAATGACTGGTCACTGCCCTAGGCAGCCATTTCAACTTGAATTGCAGAACTGAATATGTTCTCTGTGGAATATGTTCCCTTTGGAACGAGCTCCCCGTGGAGATTCGTACCCTCTCCACCGTCCAGGCCTTCCGCATAGCCCTTAAGAACTGGCTAGCCCGTCAGGCCTGGGGACAAGGATAGCCGCCCCTCCCGAATGATGAATGTATGTTGCTTACTATTTTATTATATGTCTCTATGTCAATGTTTGTATTCCCCTCCCCTGATTTTATGTGAGCCGCCCTGAGTCCCCTCAGGGAAAAGGGCGGCCTACAAATATTAATAAAATCTCAAATCTCAAATCTCTCCACCTTTTTTCTATAATCTTCAGTTGATCCATCAGTGGCCCATTCAGTGAATGAACTATCCTCACCAGTGGTGGGTTGCCAATTTTTTTTACTACTGGTTTGGATGTGCGCAACACTTCTGCACATGAGCAGAAGCATCCAGGGGGGTTGGAGCCTTCCGCCACCACTACCACCAGTTCACTCAATCCAGGCTGAACCAGGAGCAACCTACTTCTGATCCTTACCTCTCAAAGTTCATGTTCCATTCAACCCATCCACCATTTTGGCTTCTGTCCAGGCTGGGTGACCCATGCTTCCTTACTTTTCTATCATCTGCCCACAGGATTTCACCCAGATCTCTATCAGAGGCAAGCAGCTTAGGCTGCAAGGCAGAATTACCCAAGTGGTCTAGATTTGTTGATTAGAGATGGGTAATTTCATTACCTTGTTTACACAAAAGCAACTGAACCTCTAATTAAACATGCAAAAAAGTACAATGTGAAAACTATATTGATCTTTGAATGTTATAATGAAAATTGAATGCTACATTTTTAACTTTGCCTTTTCATGCAATAGCTGTGTTGCAAACTGTCTATTTTATTTTATACAAAACAGTGTGTTGACACCAGCTATAGGTACTATTGAAGTGAAAACAGAAAGCAAGCTTCATTTTCATACACCTATTTCTTTAAATCCCCCTGAATATTATTCCAACTCCACAGTTTCATTTAAAAATAAAAGACTGACCTGGGATAACCTCTGTAGGTAGTTCAGTTGGCACTGGTGTTGTGAAAATTCCTGCAATGATCCGTTTTTCTATTACTGGGAGCTCAGTAAAATCTCTCACAATAAATGCAGTTTGGGGATTGCTGGTGATCCTTTGCAATTCCGCACTGTCTATTTGTCTTGTTCCAACTCCCAGAGTACTAATCCCAGAGTTCTGCACCAGAATAGATGGCCTGCTGATATCATCCTGGGAGTTCCCTCCAAGCAAGAGAATTAATTTCTGGGGGACTCCATCTTCTCGCCTACTTCCTGCTGATCTGATAAAGAGAGTCTTCATGACATGGTCCAGAGCTTTCCCAACATTCCGGGGAGAACCACCTTTGTGCCTTAAGCGTCGTATGGCTTGTAGCACACTCTCTTTGGTCGGGTAGGCTTTTAAGTCGAACTCGGGAAACACTTCATTGCTAAACTGGACAACAGCAATTCTCACTCTGCTTGGTTGGATATCTAGTTTCTGGACAATCCGGAAAATGAAATCACGAATGTGAGCAAGTCCATCTGATCTGACATCATCAGAGCTGTCGACAAGGAAGACGATGTCCATTGCTTCACTGTCAATGACTACAATAAGGAGTGGGGAGAATGGGAAAACAGAATAAGACCAGCTTTTTTCTCACAGAAAGGAGTTCATGTTTAATATATAGCTTCAACCCCTGGCTAGCTCCTGTCTCAGTGAAGAGAATCTAGGGTAGCAGCAGTCGGGAATTTAAAGTCCTGTCAGTTGAGAGGTAAACCTGGTCCAAAAGGTCCAGTGGTCAAATGGTTTATCTTCATCTCGGTTTTTTTTTAAATTTAATCAAAAACACCTCTTACAATTCTGTTTCGTGCTTTGGATCCCTGAAAATGTGGCAACCCTGGTTCCCAAGTGAGATGGTGGTCATGCTGATCCCAATACAGAAATAAAACTTGGCTTGGGCCTAGAGAAATATTACAGCTCTGTCTTGCCAAATGCCAAGAATGATGCACCTCTATGCTAGTCACTGCAACAAGGAAGCAGGAAAGATAGGTAGATGATGGGGCAATGTTCTATGCAGACAATCCTACAAATCACCTTACCTGGAGGGCGACTTGTATCAGTAATGATTTTCCGTATCTGCTGGGTAGTTAATGTTGTAATATGGGTTAACATTTTCTGTTCCAGACTAGGTAGATCTTGGTAAGTTGATACTTGAAATGCATAATCAGGACTAAGTGCTATTTTGGCCATTTCCTCAGGATCCACATTCTTTCCAATAGGAAGGGGAGCCACACCAATCTCTTTGATCTGGTGTACCGGGTTCTCTGTATCATCATGAGGTCGGTGGGAATAAAGAAGGATTAAAAACTGAGGTGCTCCTTCCTCTATGCGGCTCCCAGAAGGTCTTGTAAAGATATTCTTTGACACATATTCTAGGGCAGAACCAAGGTTCACTTGCCTCCCACCTCTGGGATTAAATCTTCTCACTGCAGCTAGCACCTCCTCCTTGGTAGAATATGCATTCAGCAAAAATTCAACTCTGGGATTATCACTGAATTGAATTACAGCTACTCGAGTAGCATCTGAACCCACATTCATATTGTTTACAAGCCGTTCGATAAATTCACGAATTGAAGGGAATTCAGACAGTGCAAACTGAGAGCCATCAATAAGGAAAACGACGTCTTTCTTTGTATCTGCTATACAACAAAAAAATGATATTAGATTACAGTCAAAATTATACTTGCAAATAAATTCAACATGGTTAAAGGAATTAATTAGCTAATATTAACAGCCACACAGTACAAAATATTATTAAAAGGCTATAGAAAATTTACTATGAAAATTTGATTGGAAAATAGTGTTTCTGATTAAATTGATAAATGATGTTTATAATTTTTACTTACTTTTTTCTATTGCCTATTTCTTCCATAAAATTCTCAAAATACGTAAAGGATACCCATATATACTCTTTGCTTTACTAACTATGCAATTGTTGAATCATGTAATGTATTTTTATTAGAACTGAATGTATGTAAGACTTTTCCAGAGCATTTGTATCATAGAAACAAAAATATCGATTGAATAAAATATTAACAAAAATCAATGTGATGGCTTGAATCTTACACTTCTGGAAATTCTAGTCTATATTAGCAGAATAATTGTTTGTGGTGATATGCAACTCCAGTTAGCCTAGAATCCCTCTGAAATGGAATACCACATAGTATCAGCTATTCTACTGCTATATGCAGGAGACTATCATATTCAATATATAGAAGACTATCATCATTATAAAGGATATTTGCCTATTTTTCTATGTCAATATGCATGGGAAGTCAGTTCACTAGTAAAGTTATATGCATCATTTTTGTATCTATAAATGCATTCAAGCATGACCTACTCCCTGTACAAAAAAATATTTAGAAAAGAAAAAGAAACGTGACCTAGGAATGTAACCTATAATTATTTAGTCACTCCAATGATTTGATTATGCAGTGGTTATTTAACATTTTCTGCCCCATTTGTAAGCAGGGAAATAGTGGGGAAACTATTCAGTAAATTTCTCCAGGAACAGAAGAGGTTATCCAATATATAATGGGGTTCATTGATGGCAATTGAAGCGGTAAAATTGTTTCCTTGTTTTCTTCCTCCCTCCCTTCAATACTATTCTTTCATTGTGTCCCACTGCATCTGGAAGAACAGCAATTTTAGTGGACACCTGGATGCCAGTTATCATTTTTTTTATAATGACCAGAACTATTATCCTTTCTGGGCATTATGGGGAAAAATAGTGATTGTATTTTTTTTTAAAGGAAAATTCTTTACTGGGCTTATTTATGGAAATGAGAGGTGGGGGATTGAGAAAAATAAAACCTCAAGAAATGTTCATAAGGATATGGCTTTTGGCTTTACTAATTATATGGTTCTAGAAATGTGATTGTGTCATTCAGAATTCTGAAGCGAGCAGGCTGTTGAAAATAATGCTTTTTGAAAAGCAAGCAGCAATTAATTTTGGGCAGCCCATGTTCATTATTTGCTTTGTTTATTTTAACAATTTGCAGTTTATTATACTGCAAATTACAGTATAATAATTTTAAAAATTCCCCTGAACCAAGTGATGGAAAAAAATCAGCTCAGAGACCAATGCTTCTATTTCTGCCCTGGTCAGTTGGATGAGTCTGAAATGAGTTGCTATAAGGTATTCAGTCCACTAATACCAGAAACAAGGAGAGCAATTTCAGAAACAAAAGAATTTGTCTGCAGCTCAGTGACATCTGCATTTTCAACGCCAATACTAAAAGGATCATCTTCAGAGCCAAGGAAGCTTTTTTGACATCATCTCTTGTCTTTTTAGCTGACAGCAAAATGAGGAACTATGGGACACCTTCAGATATCCTGCTTCCAGATGGGCTCAGGAACACATCCCTAACAAGTTAATTAAGGGCTGTCCCTGTGTTAAGTGAAGAGCCCATAGGATCTCTGGATGACCTTGATCATCTCAATCTTGTCACAGAGTAGTCATCTGAAAGGAACTCCAGGCTGATAGTATTAATGTGCTGGGCCACAGCAACCTGGACTTTATCAGGGTCAATATCCAAACTATCAGCAATTCTTTGTACAAAGGTATTAAATTCTGTGGAATTACTTCTGCAGCCATCTGAATCCTCTATCAGAAATACATCATTCTTCTTCTGAATTTCAGATTCACAGATTCAGAAGGAAAAAATGAGATTCATCTTCACATCAATCATTTCTTAGAATGTGTTCATTTTTATCTTTTGGTGGATTAACTTTGCTTGTTCTACTAACACAGTTAAACAAAACTGGGAAAACAATGAATGAAAAGGCATCATAAAGGAACAATGACATGAAACCCAAAGATGTTCATTTCAGAATTTGCTGATAGGCCAGATGGAGAATATGAGACCTAGCAGTTTCTCAGATGAATCTTCTGCTATTGAACTTGAAGAAATTATTTGACTTGAAATAACATTGTGTCCTTCAAAATACAACTGATTTTTGATATTTTCAAATTTTCTTTTCTCAGATCTCTACATTGCGTAGTCATTTCCCAATGACTCTGCTCTCGATTGTTGCTTTCCTGATGTCATCTGCAGCAGGATCACAAAGAAGGTAGAGCTGGTACATTTCTACCCCGAAATATTTCCTAAGGAATGTTGCTTTTCCATTACTAGGGTCAGAATAAAGCAGCTTATTTACAAAGAGTCCATGGGAGAGTTGGTAATGAGATTTCCTTCCCCCAAATGATTTCGTATTTCCACAGCCCTGACAAATTAACACTAGATGCAAGTTTCAGGGCTGAAAATTCTTTATTTTCTGAGATTCCTAGAGGCACTGAAATCTTTATTCGCATTGGTTTTCTTTTCTTGCACTTATTGACAACTGGGGTTTTTATGTGATATTGTGAAGCCCTGATTGAATCTTCTGTTATTATTTTGAGATGACATTATTAGAAGTTTCATGGGTGATGCATTTCTGTAGCAAAAGATATCCCTGGAAATTTCCCAGAATAAAATTCCTAAAAGGAGAACTAGCTAGCTTTTCCCATTTCAAGTTTATTGACCATGAAAATTGGTCCTGAACTTTGTTCTAAATTTGGGTTCACCCCACAATGGTTTGTCAGTTTTCAGCTGAGGAATATGTTTGCAATTTTGCCAAAGTATATTGGTTTCAGAATTATATCTGATTACCTATGTGTCACCTTCTGACTGGTTTTAGTAGGCTGTAGAAAATCAGATCTTTCAAATCACTGAACGTATGTTTGATTGAAGTAGGGTAACACCCCAATCAATCAATCAATCAGTCTGAATATTTAAAAAATAATGAACATCAAGTGATAAATAAAAATAAAGAAATGTACCTTGAGGTTTAAGTTGTATGGTTTTCAACAGATTGACTATTTCATGTTGTATGTCTCCAAGTCGAGAAATGGTATCAACCTTTAGAATGAACTGAGGGGCATAAACTATTCTTTCTAATTCAACTGGATCCGAGGTCTTGGTTTGGATAACAAAAGGAATCACACCAGTTTGTTTCAGGGTATCAGCACTTTCATCCACAGTATCATCTGATCTCCCAGCCACAAGAAGAACCAGGAATTGTGGCACGCCTTTTTCAATCCTGCTCCCAGCATCTCTTACAAAGATGTATTTTACAGCATAATCTAGTGCAGCTCCAATGTTCAGTAGCCTTCCTCCTTTCATCTTCATCTTTTTCACTTTCTGAACGATTTCTATCTTGGATGGGATGTCAAAGTTGAACTCCACATTTACATTGTCACTAAATTGTGCTAGAGCTATTCGTACAGCATCTGGCCCCACATTCAGGTCAGAAATAATTTGGGCCACAAACTCTCGAACAACAGGAAACTGGCCAGCCATGTTCATTGAGCCATCAATTAAAAATAAAATATCAATCTTGTTTTCTGGAATGAAGTGAGGTAAAGATATTCAGTATGTATCATTTTATTACAGAATTTCTATATATATGTGTGTGTGACAAGAAATCCAAATCACATTTGATTAGTAAGAAATATAATTTGACTCAGGTGATTGCTTTGGCATCTTTGATTACATCTTTGGTACAAGCTTCCACAATTGAAGAAAAAATGACATGGCATCAGAGGAAACTGTGGAATCATAGAGTGATTTACAACTTTGAAGGAAATGAACTCTTGGCTCCTTAAATGGATTATGCATATTACATTTCTAGTGGGACTCATTATATGTATGACAGCACATCACTCTACCACCTCTCCAATGCTTAAATTTTTCCTTGACTAGTAGACTGTTTGCTTTTTTATCAAGGAGGCTATAATATAAAAGTTGGGATCTTTATCACTTTAAGGAATAAGGTTCTTCTTACAGTATTATATTAATAAGAAAAAGAAATGCCTATTCCATATAAATATATTTTGTTGTCCTTAAAAAAAGATATATGCTGCTTTCCTTGTTGGCATCTGGTCATTATCTATATTTTCCCAATGTATTTTTAAGGAATTATGCTTCCATATACCAGTGTTTCTAAGAACTGATTCATATATGCATATAATTCTCTTGACAGTAAAATCAATAAGTAAGTTTGCATTTGAAAATGAGGCATCACCACTTTACTATACTGAGCAATAATATTCATTCTGCAAAGTTTTTCTTCTGCAAAAACATAATTGTTTTCAGCTCTTTTGCAGACAGTTGAAGGGAATAATATTTCATATTGGGAAAAGGGACCATATTTTTAAGGATGTGATATGAAATCTCTTGTTCTTTCACTCTCCTAATATTTAAAGCTCCCTGAAAGCACTTGCACCATTCAGGACTCTTCTCATAAAGCTTCCACTTCAGAATATTTCTTTAATTTGTATGTCCACATATAAATGCAGAAGGGCTGAGTGGCAAGAAGTCTCCATGGAAAGAGACCTGCAAGCAATGATCTTCTTAAGATTTTGGTAAGAAATTAAGATTATTGGCATTCCTATATTTATAATTTAAGCTCCTCCTGTCAGTTGCTCAAAAGGCTTGAATCTAAGATGGCTTAAGAAAAAACCTTCTGGACTAAGACATTTTGGTAATGGCATGTGAGATATTCAGTCTGGACAACAGGCTGTTGTGTTCTCCCACTGGACAATTCCCCTGCTGCTGGGCCTTTCTGCTTCTCTCTGTTAGGAAAGAGTTGCCAATCACTCTCTTTCTTGGGGGGTGTATGCATATAATAACAATAATAAAAATTATATGATGCTGGACCAGTGGGTGGTGTTTTTCAATTTCCTGGACCACGGTTGAGAATCAGGGACTGGCCCAAAGTTATTTATTGTGCCATCTGTGCCTAAAAGGTAGAGCAGACCCTCGCTGTCCCACTCCTGACCCAGCACCATACCATGGCACTGACTCCAGTTATTAATATAAGATATAAAATGTCAGATATAATAAGATACAATTAGGTAAAGAGAAAGGTTCCCCTTGGACATATGTGCTAGTCATTCCCAACTCTAGGGGGTGGTACTCATCTCCGTTTCAAAGCCAAAGAGCCAGCGCTGTCCGAAGACATCTCCATGGTCATGTGGCTGGCATGACTAAACCCCGAAGGCTCACAGAACACTGTTACGTTCTCACCAAAAGGGGGTTCCTAATTTTCTACTTGTATTTTTACATGCGTTCGAACTGCGAGGTTGGCAGAATCTGGGACAAGTAACGAGAGCTCACTCTGTTACCCAGCACTAGGGATTTGAACCACCAAACTGCTGAACCTTTTTGGTCGACAAGCTCGGTGTCTTAGTCACTGAGCCATCACACCCTTTGAAGATATAATTAACAGTTCATAAAATTAGTATCACTCAAAACATATCTGTATGATAAAAGTCAATGTAATATGAAAAAATCAAATTACCTGTTGATATGATTGTAATGTCTTCCACATCTCCACTAACATATGTTGTTAGTGGACTAATCATTTCCTGTGGTAAAGCTGGCAGAGAGCTGAATTCATCCTTAAAATATACTATTTGTGGATTAAATGCAATCTGCTGAAGTTCTGCTAGTTTGGCGTTCCTAACCCCAACACAAAAGGTGAGCACTTTCGCACGAGCTAAGGCATTGGCGGCATCTTGGAAGGCATCAGCAGATGGCCCTGCCGCAAGGAAGACTAGCACCTGAGGGACATTCGAATCTTTCCTGCTCCCACCTGCTTCAATGAAGTGATTGGAGCGCACAAAATCTAGTGCAGCTCCTGAATTCAGAATTGACCCCCCTTGCAGTCTCAACTGCCTCAGACGAGAAAGGACATCTTCCTTGGTTAGGAAGGAGTTTAAAAAGAATTCTGTTTTGGGGTTCTCACTAAATTGTACTAGGCCGATTCGTACATCATCAATTCCAACATCAAGGGAATTAACTAGGTTCACAAGAAAGTCACGGACATATGCGAAGTTGTTAATTCCAACGTTGGCTGATCCATCCAAAAGAAAGACGATATCTCTTTTGGTTACAACTGCAGTAGAGCACAGAAAATAACATGAGACTTCATAGAAAAACATACCAGTATTGGTCATGTGTGCATTTGCAACTGTGGTACACACATGTATACCTCATTCAAGAGACAACAAGACTGGACAGGACAGGACAGGATAGGACAAGACAAGACAAGACAGCCATGAAGAGAAGGAAAGAAGAACCAAGAGGAGTATCAAGAGCCATCCACCGCACAATTAATCAAAACATACCAACTACATTTTAAAATGTGATATTTCTCAGATTTCCATTTGCAAATAATGACTGCTAACTGCATGTGTGCATGTGGAACTGTGTAAAGACTATTTGATATTAAGATTCTATCCCCTGAATTCAGTGGAGAATATAAGTGGGCTAGAAAATTTCCCAAAGACTCTAATCATCTGGTCAAATAAGGTCAATTGGAAAATCTTCACCTGTAGGTTTAATTCAGTTTGGTTAAAGGTGGTTAAAACATCAGGCTACAAATTGGGGGACCTTGAGTTCTAGTTCTGCCTTAGGCACAAAGTCAGCTGGATGACTTTGGCCCAATCACTTTCTCTCAGCTCTAAGAAGGAGGCAATGGCAAACCAGTTCTGAAAAATTTTGCCAGGAAAACTGCAGGGACTTACCCAGGCAGCCTCTGAAAATCAGACATGATTGGGAAAAAAATATGTAAGTTGGTAACATGAATTTTTCAGGATTGAGTGCTCTGCTTTGACCACTTAATGTTCAAAGGGCTAAATTTCCTGCCATGAACTGGGCCTATTTCTACCCCTTTACCAGTTGAAAACTTGAATTTTATCTATAAATTTTTAGATCACAAGTGAGCCTATAACCATGTTACTAGGCATGGACCATGCCATAGAAAGTCAACAAATACAATTTGCAATTAATCCAATTCTAACAGATGAGTTTTAGATGGGATTAGATAACCATAACACATTGGATCATCATTTCAGAATTGTAATTTACCTAACAGTTGCATACTCCCATGCAATTTCCCTGACCTTCCCCACAACTCTGTCACAGCCTTCTGCATCCCTGTGCACTCCCATGCACCTTCCCCAACCCACACCAGACCCCTTGACTCGTACATCTTGCACATACCTATGCATTCTCCCTGAGTCATATGGTACACTTTACATGCTATTGTGCAGTCCCATCCCCCACAGTCTGCATGGCAACTTTCACACAATTCCATGCACCATCCTAATCTGTGTGGTACCTCTTGCACATCTCTGCATACTCCAACACACCACCCTCAACGGTGAGGAATGCAATGCACACTTTGGATCAAGAAGGATGTGGGGAATATGCAAGAGATTTTGAGCAGGTTGCAGAGGGTGCATGGGGTGCATGGGGATGCACAGGGTGCAAAAGAGGTGCCATGCAGGTTAGGGAGGGCACAGGATTTGGATGTAGCATGGGTTGGGGAGGGCATTTGGGAGTTGAGTACAATATTGGTCAGGAAGAGTATATAGGAGTACATCAGAGATGATGTGCAGCTCAAGGAGACCATGTGGTGGTGCAATGCAAATCAGGAAGGATGCACAGCAGTGTGTGAAAAGTGTCAAATGAGTTGGGAATGGTGCATGGGGATGAGGTGGTTGTGGGAAAGGAGCTGTATGAATCAGGGATCAGTGCATGGGTGTATCTTCATTCAAGAAGGGTGCATAGGGCCAGTGTAGTATGAGTGCAGATTAGCAGGTTGCACAGCTGGGGGAGACTTATCCAAGAAATTTATGATCTTCCCTGCCAGTCTCTTGACTGCCAGTACTCCCTACCAGCTTCCCACAAGCAAATATTTTCTTTGCAATCATGATCAAGTGCTGGCTTCTCCAGTGACTTTTGAGAAACTGGCAGGGAGAGTTTGAAATGATGATCACATGATGACATCTGGCAGTGCAGTATCTATAACCTTTCCAAATTTCCTTCCTAAGGGAGTAACGGGTGCTGGCATTCTTAATTTAGCCTTTTTGAAGTATCTTGGTTGAAAGAATTGTTGTCCAGTGATGCATCATTTTGTCAAATTGATGGTTACAGACAGATATGAGAGATAGCAATATATAGATACAGAGAATTCCATGTTCTTCAATCAAAACTCTAGGAACGTCTGCATAAATGGAGATCTTGTTTAGAAACGTTTGGAATGTAATATTTACAAATGCTAACAAAGGAAAAAGTAAAAGTAAAATATTTTGCTGCCTATTGTCAAATGATCTGCCTTAGTATACCTATTGGTGCCCTATAAAGCCCCAGCCACACTGTTCAACATTTTTTTCAAATCCACTGAAGATGCTTGAAAAATTGGTGGTGTGGGATGGGGCAATTGGTTTCCATGCAAAATTGGATTGATCTAATTACAGACATGAACATTTCTTTAAAAGGAGGAATATACATCCATATTACATATTTACAAAAAAGAAAAAGGAGAGGAAGAAATGTATCTTCACAAATAAAGCAACATTTAAGAGCATTTTTAATTTCAATTCTAAAATAAAAATGTCATCAGTGATTTGTACCATGCAGGAAAATATTAGTAAGAAATGCACATTTTGAAAAAGGTTTAAGTTGCAGATTTTACTATATTCTAATTTAAGGGTAATTGACATCTGGAAAGTTAGCAAATTAATGATGATGTACTGTAACTTCAAAATGGTTATGAACATTCAACATTATTGGGGAGGCCATTTAGAAAACTAACATTTTGTAGTTATAATGAATGTTTCCATCTTCCTTTTGAACTGTATGATAAAATTAGAGTGAACAGTTACATTACCAGATGGATAGATGATGGAGAAGAAAGTAGATTGACCATCTCAGGGATTAAAATATCCTTCCTTCAATTCTTAAAATAAATTAGATTGCCAAATTTTTAATGAACTGATTATTATCTAATTCTAACTTTGATGGGAGAGAAAAAGTATTTCTATTATTTTGAAGGAGGATATACAAGTCTTTAGAAAAAATAATGACACTGCATTTCTGTACTAATATCTTATGGCTATTAATTAAGAGCTAACAGTTGTAAATGAACTAAGTAATCACTGAATAATTAAATAGTATGGAAACTGAATAAGGGATACCTGATTCCAGCTAGCTCAATTTAGCAGAAACATCACGGTGATCAAATTAATAAATGGAGAATGCTAATGACTTTGAACCTGTCATTTCTACATGTAAGGCAGAAGAAATATATGGAAAAATATATCTAACAATGTTTTCAAATATTAGTTACAGAGTATGCAATATTTTCTATACCAACTTTTAGTTATCAAAATTATATAGTTAAATATGAACAATAAAAATCTATCCATAAATAACTTCAAGCAATGAATAGACTCTATAGGCAGTTCTTGTTTAACGACTGCCTTATATAGTAACTGTTCCAAGTTAGAATAGTGATGAAAAAGCAACTTAATAACCAATCCTCTCATTTATGACTTTCACAGGTTAGTATTACAAAGGAAAACTGAACTAAAATAAGTACAGTTGCAATTTCACTTAGTGACGATTTTGCAATGACCAAGTTGCTATCCCCAATTGTGTCGCTAAAAAGGGCTACCTGTAGGTACCAGATAGTGACAGGAATCAAACAGCAATATAAATAAACAAAAAAAAAACAAATATTCATACATATATAAGTTCCTTTTTTTTAAAAAAATGTGCTAAAAAAAATGAACAGAAATTACCTTCTGTTGATGGTATTTCCGGAAGTTTTACAGAAAAGTCTTCTTTTACAAAAGCCACAACAACAGGAATGAAGGGTGCTAGTGCAGCTGTGCGGAATTCTGGGGGGGTTAAAACCCTGTAGGCAATTTGTTCGAGTTCACTTTGATCAGCATTTCGGGCTCCCACAGCAAGAACCACGATGCCATTCCTTTCAATTTCTTGTTTTGATTGGAGAACATCATCCCTGGACACACCCCCAGTGATCAGAATCAACATGGGAAGGACACCTTCATCAATCCTGGCCCCAGCGGCATTGGTGAAGAAGTTGTTTTTAACAAACAGCAATGCTGAGCCAGTGTTAAGTGTGGCACCACCCATTGGTTTAATTTTCCTAACAGTGGTGACAATATCTTTTTTTGTCTGGAAGCTATTAAAATAAAATTCTGGTTTTACAGTATCTGCATATTGTGCCACTGCAACTTGAATGAGATCTGGTCCAATTTCCAGTCTGTTGATGATTTTGGCCACGAAATCACGAATTGCATTAAAGGGGGCAGGTCCCAATGCAGAAGAACCATCTATCAGGAAGACTATGTCTCTCTTATGGACTTCAACAACTGTAAGCAACAATATATAAGCAGTCAGTGTGTTTACTCATTGAAGAACATGAATAAATTCTGAATCAGTGCAAGCATAATTAGATAAACATTCCTATTTGTTGTGCAAGACATTTACTTTAATTGTTGAGTTACAGTATATTCAATCTAAGTTGATATTTATGATTTTTTTTGCACTTCAGTATTTCTGCTTAAAATTCATGGGTAATATTCATGCATTTTTCTGGCTTTACAGTAGAATAACATCAAAGCCTATAAAAATCCATCTCCCCTCCCACTTCCATGCATGTAAAGACCAAGAGAAGGTAACTAAACAGCTTTATAACAGCAAAACATACCTAGGTCCAAAACCTGCAGGAAACTAAAATCAGTAAGTGAACAGCTTTATGAATGAGCACACAATTCCAAGAATACGTTAAAGGGATTTGATACTACCTTGATGATATTCCCATTAAAAATAAATTAATCTATCACCTTGAAATGGCATGGTAATGGCTCTCATATGGAACTGTGAAGAAAGCTTTATTATTGCAAAATCATGTACTTCTATACAAACTGTCCCAATGAGTTTCCACGGGAATCCTTTTGCCCAGTCTTCCACAGACACACTTAACTTCAACAATACTTTCCACTTTTTCTCAAATATGGAACAACATGCTGTGGTAGGTTAATCTGATTCATCACCCTTCTTCCCTGTTACACTTTAGGGTGGGGCTGAAAATATTGGAGCAGGGGGTTAAATAGTTTTAATTGTCATAGTTAATTTTACTGTAGATAGACATTTGTATGCTACCTTAAGCCAGAAGATAGGTTGTCAGCATGTGAATGGATGGATGAATGAATGAATGAATGAATGAATGAATGAATGAATGAATGAATGAATGAATGATGAATTCAGCACTGAGAGGAAGCAAACTAATTACCCATTGGTATCAATAAGAAATAAATAATATACATATGTGTTTCAGACTATACATATCTAGCCCCAATAGAATAATTCAGCAAATTATTAAGGAGGGTGTTGAGATAGTAGTAGCAAGTCAACTACAGAGTATCCTAGATGAAGCAGATCATTTGAATCCTCTTCAGTCCAAAAATGGTGATGTGGAAGATAATGGGACATCTTAGGGCAAACATGATTCTGACGCAGATGTGAAATTCACATCAATCACTTTTAGCGCCAAACGATGTATTACTCTGGGCTATAAAAGAACTAATAAAAAGATTCAACTATCAACTCCTGAGATGATAGGTAGTGTAACTACTGCACTTGAAAGAAAGATAACATGCATCTTTCCTGTTTTCATATATATTCTTTCATTTCATCAGCATAGAAACTAGGTAAACGCTCAAGAACTGTATTTTTCACAATCTTAAGAGCAGATTTAATTTTAGAGCTGGAATACTACCATAAAATATTGCATACAGTTCACAGTGATTGAAAAGTCATTTAATTATTAAACATTATCATTGAATATAATAAATGTCTGTAGTTTTAGAACTTTTCTCTTTTGGTTCCTTCCTGGGGCTGCATATAAGTGTGACCACCTGGACTGTCAGTACAATGCCTCCTGAGAGATCCTCCCTGTATGGATTTCAGAGTGGGGTCCTAAATAAATAGCACTTGGCCTTCAACCATCTTTTGAGGAAGTATCCTACTACAAAGTACCATAGATGAAGCAGATTATCTGGACCCTATCCAGTCATTTTCAAACTTGGTTACGGGACAGAGACAGCATTGATTTCATACATAATCCATTGTAAATTATACTAAATCATAAATACAAGATAATTCTATTATTCTAATCCAGACTTCCAGGGGGAAAGCCTTAACATTTTCAAAGACCACCCAGGTAACCTGGAGGTTGGAAAGCAAGAAGATGTAGCTTTTTCCACCCTACTTGCCTTTTCAACACACCCACCCCACTTTGTTCCTAGAATTATTTAAAGTTTGAAACAGGGTTGGAAACAATGCAATCCTGGGGTTCTAGAATGAAATAAATATTCTATTGCAATTTAAAATATGCTCACTCTATATCTGATCTGCCATGGAACAGTAGAATCTGAAAGATAAAAGCAACTTGTAGAATGAAACTCTTAGTAATCATTCCTGTCACTGAGATTCCAGATTGAAAAATGGTACCCATCAGTGTCCTGGTGATAGGTCAAATAACTTGCTATTTTTTAGTCTGGAATCTCTATTTCATAAATCTATCTCTCTATTTTTCCAAGTTGCATGTTGCAGTTCTGGAGATAATGAAAATGAGATCCAACTAAAGTCCTGTTTCCAACTGCTATTTCTTAGTGCATTTTTAAAATGGCAAAGTACGTAAGTAAGTACTACTTTGGTGGAAAGATAACAGCATATGTGCCTTGGTGTATAGTCATGGAAGTATGGTATCAATGTTTATGCAGTTACACATAAGCATCTACCCTCAATCCCATCATTCTCAATCCTCAGTCTACCATCAAACAAATAACATTTGATATAAGAGCAAAAATAACTAAATTGAAGATAATAGTTCATTGAAAAATACATACCTTCTGTAAGAATGGTTGGGGCATCTAACAAAATGAGCCTTTGGGCCACTCCAACAATGTTTGGCAGTAAGAGATCTTGAAGTTCGCCAAGGTTACGTGTATCCAGGGCAGTAAATACGAAGCTTGGATCAGTAGCAATTTGCTGAAGCTCTGCATTGTCAGCATTTTGGACCCCAATGCAAAATGAGAATATACTAGCTTGCTTCATGGCTAAAACTCCTTCTCTTATGTCATCACTAGACTCAATGTTACTTATGAGCACTAAAATCTGTGGCACACCTTCCTCTATTCTGCTGCCTCCTGAGTGGGTGAAGTGGTTTTGCATGACAAAATCAAGAGCGTCTCCAATATTAGCTTCCTCGCCACCAAGAATGCTAAGGGCCTTCACTGCCTGTAGAATATCAACTTTTTGGGTGTAGCTGTTCAAGGGGAATACAGTCCTGGGTTCATCACTAAACATAACCACCCCAACGCGTATGAGCTCAGCTCCAACTGAGAGTCTTTCAATTAAATTTGCAATGAAATCACGAATGGCTGAGAAAGTGACAGCGCCGTTCTTTGATCCATCAATAAGGAAAATAATGTCAGCAGATTCTTGTGCTTGAAAAAAAGAGAAATGCAACAGGTGAAAGCATTAAACCAAGTGAATCCATGCAAGTTGAATAGTTTTCGACATGTTTCTTTGAAAAATAGCAAGAAACACGATTATGGAGGGGAAAAATATGTGGTGACCAAAGTCAATGAAACTTGCCTGCCAGTTCTGCATTCTGATTGAATATGAATGTCTCTGGAAAAATTGCACCAAGGACAGTTTTCATATTGTATGTTCTTGCAAATTACTATATTTTGCAATCACAGATGGGCCACTTTCATATTAAAATAGAATGAGGTTCTAAAATAACTTCATTAAATGTGAACTTTGCATATGGAGGGAGAAGGTTTTTTCTATATACAATACATTCTTATGCCACATTTCAGTTATATGTAGTCTAGGGTTTACTTCCTATACCCATAAGATGTGGCAAAATATAAATGGAAAACGTTTCCATTTTGAGATTCAACATGAATCAGAAATAAGAAACAGTTTAATTTGGAATTCTCTATATATTTACTTCAAAGAATTGTAAATCAGAGAAAAATACATGGAATTGCATGGCAAATGAAGCAATCATGTATTTGTTTTCAAAATACAAATTGAGTCAAGTGGCTAATGATAATAAATGCAATGGAATAATAATAATATTATGGGAGTTAAGAAAAATATTTTTAAAGGTCAGAAAATATTTTAAAGGTTTATTGTGTTAAAAAATACTTCATTCAAAACCCAAATGTTTGTGTGTATATATACTTTCTGTATCTAAGGATTATTAGATTATTCTATTATATTTGCATATTTTCTAATTATAATCTACATAAAACCAAAGTGCAAAATAAAAGAAATTAAGCATATATAAGTATCCTTGCATATGTCATTTATGGTAATTAATGTTAACATACAACAAAAATGTACTTCTGATTTAATTGTTCACATATTACCACTGGATATTCAATCAAGTAATGCAGAATCATGTTAAAGCAGTAAATCCAGTCATAACAATTATCCAACCACATATGCTATGCCTGTTTCTGGATCCACAATAGTGAACCTAATAATTGCATGGGGAATGCATTTTTCAACTGAGAAGATGGATTTTTTGACATGATCATGATCATGTGGATTATCTATTTTGAGTCTCTCATAATTGAGTAGAATTTTTAGAGTTATATCCAATCATTCTAATCTATAATAATATAATATTTCTGCTTGCTGATGGAATAAATATACCATAGTGCTGAATCCTCTGCCTTGCACAAGTCTGTGCACCCATCACTCAGGAAGAGCAATGAAAAATCTAGTTGTATTTATGGAAGGATATACGTGGAACAGTTCACATAATCTAGTAGCCCAAACTTTCTCATTTACCATCATCTAATCCTGGGTTAACTACTTTCAGACCTTTCAATCAAAATAATATATTATATATAATATTATATATATTATATGTATATAATAGTATATATACTTTCAGACCTTTCAATCAAAAGGGACAGCCTTTTAACTTTAAAATATACCTCGTTAAGAGCCAGTCTGAATATACAGTGACTCTCATTTTTTCTAAACCTATTAACTAGTAAAAGTATAGCTGAAAGAGCAGCCACATCTCATCCCTTTCTGACTACTGTTTGTGATGAAGATTTCTTGGAAACTCAGAAAGTTTGAAAAACATTCAAATTGGACTAACTTTTAAAAAATGTTTATATTTTATATATTTTTTTAAAAAAAATATAGACTTTCTGTTAAATACTGCAAATCACAACGAAACAGGAAGACAGTATATATAATAGTTGGATAATTTGTCACTGCTGAAGAATCTTTTTACCAAAGAATACAATGAAAAGTTGAAGTATTGATGAAAAACAGATTAAAGCATGCTTTTTAGAGTTTCAGAACAGCAAAGAACTGATGTCTTGAAAAGGAAGCAGTAACTAAGGTAGTGTGTAATATATACCAAGGCAATTTCAACGTTAAAGTTTCCAATTACACAGAGCATATTGTTGAAGAGTAAACACTTGCAGTTACTAAAATAGTGAACATCTCTTTCACTGTGCATTTGAAAATGATTGCTTGTAGTATTTTATATGGGGGCATTGTTAAATTCATAATGTGTCATTTTAACTCATGCAAAAAAGATTAATTAATTAGCCAATCTGTTAAATTTTTGAAATTATTGTTAGAGAAAGGAATTCTTCACATTAATGTTGGGTACAAGTAACCAGCATCATATCTGAATATGTGTAGAAAGAAACATCCATTTTTAGTACAATCATTTGCAGTTATTATATTTTTACCCAATACAAAATTATCACCTTAAGCATTGATACAAAGCTCTGTCTGCAGAGTAGTATGTATGCTTGTGAAGTCTTGATAAGTTATTGCCTCAAGGCTCAAGCGTCTTCTGTTAATAAACTAGGAAGTCCTGCTCAGCATCCTATGAAGCTCCCAGAACCCTAATTCATTGAGGGGAGAGATCAACTGCCATAGGGATGAAAGTAGCTATCAGGAAAGTAATTGCAGGAAAGGGAAGTTTCCATTCATCCAATAATAAGTCTTTTGCATCTTGATTCTTATAATTCTCTAAGGATACTCAAAGTGATGCATCTTCCATTCAACCCATCATTTTTGCAATGTGGTTTTTTTTTACACTGAAATCTAGTTCAATGGACATTCTGTTTTAAAAGTGAGAAAATTTTTCCCTGCAGGTAAAATTAGTACAGATTTCTCAGATAGGCTTTTTTAAAGTTATACTTAAATATAGATAGCATGATGAGTAGCATATAATTCTGGGCATGGCTAGTCTAGTGAAGAGAAGGACCAGGGGAGATAGCAGTATTCCAATATTTAAGGGGCTGCCACAGAGAGGAAGGGGTCAAGCTATTTTCCAAGGCACCTGAAGGCCAAACAAGGAATAATCGATGGAAACTGATCAAGGAGAGATTCAATCTAGAAATAAGGAGGAATTTTCTGACAGTGAGAACAATCAACCAATGGAACAGCTTGCCTTCGAAAGTTGTGGGAGCTTCAGCATGGGGAGCTTTAAGAAGAGATTGGACTACCATTTGTCAGAAATGGTATAAGACAGGAAAGATGCAGTCAGGGGAGGCAGGGGAGGCAGAGCCTCACCACTGTCATCATGAAAAGAAAAGAAAAGGAAAAAGGAAAAAG